TATACAAAATATGTACTAATCAATAATGTATTGACCATTCTTTTCTATGACTTCTTGCCATCTTTTTACCAATTTCATAATCCCACATTCATAACACGTCTGAGGTTTACCGGCAAAAAACTGATCCAGTTGCGTTTTAACAGCTTCATTATTAGCAAAGTTTTTCTCGTTCAGAGAATTTTGCAGCGACCGGAACAAATGGTAATCAGAGAGTGCCGGTGAATAAGGAGGGTGAGTCAAAACATCCCAGCCAAGCTTTAACAATTTGTTCCGAGTAGTTAATAAAGTATGGGGTCTGGCATTGTCGTGGTGGAAGACGACTCCTTTTCGATTTGCCACTTCTGGACGTTTCGAACGTATTGCTCGATTCAATTTTGTTAATTGGGAGCAATATACAGTTGAATCGATCGTCCTGCCTGATGGTAAGAGCTCATAATAAATGATACCTTTATAATCCCACCACACTGAGAGCATAATTTTCTTCGGGTGCAATCCTGCCTTCGAGGTTGTTTGTGGTGGTTCACTGCTGCTTCCCCATGATCTTTTACGTACTACGTTATCGTAGACGATCCACTTTTCATCTCCCGTAACCAACCGCTTCAAAAATGGATCGTTTTCTTAGCGTTTCAGCAGCGCGTCGCAGATGGAAATGCGAGCGGTTAAGTTGGCCTCGGTCAATTCGTGCGGCACCCAAACATTGAGGCGAGAAACGTATCTCAACTGACGCAAATGGTTTTCTACACTTGTGTGGGATATATTAAGTGTCGTAGCAATCTCTCGTAGTGTTTGCAATGGATTTTTGTCGACGGTATTCTTTATTACAGCTGAATCAATCTCTGCTGGACGACCAGAACGGGACGCGTCACTAATATCAAAATCTCCAGAACGGAATTTGGCAAACCATTTTTGACACACACGTTCTGTTAAAGCATCGTCCCCATACACATTACAAATCTTCTTATGAGCTTCCGCAGCTCGTTTGCCTTTTTTGAAATAAAAAAGTAAAATATGGCGAAAATGGACGTTCTTTTCTTCCATATTTGCAACCGTGCAGTACGCACAATACTTTGGTATTAACCGGCGTATGTTTACAAATAGGTTAGGTGGTACGTCGCTTTTCAGCTGCGCAAGCGCGTTGTACGATAGCGCTATGGAAAAGAGATAGCAGAACGAGTAAACCTACTCCGATTAAAAAACCGAACAAACTTATTTGCCAACCCAATAATACGCCCTTTTTGTTAATAAATTTTAAGATTGTAAGCTTAATATTTCACTCTATTTTTTTACCATTGCACACCCACTACCCTTTTTCCAATTATTCCGCTCGGCATCCCATCCCAGATAAAGGGTTTTAGTACCCTGATCTAAAATAGGACCACCCTGAGTACGCTCGCGTCGGAGCCAAGTGACCTTTATGGTCTCTGACCTGTACCGCCGGCATACAGGTACGTTCGAGACTCGCGTTTGCGATTGCGGTCGTTGAGTTTTATTTCAGGTCATAACAATAGCTTCGACATTACTTTCCGATGGTTTTCTAAGATTTCTCCAAAATTTTATATTTTATTTTTTCGAAATATCCCCCTTTACGCACACTTTTTTTAAATACTTGAGAAATATTTTGCAGTAAAATTAAAAATTATTATATACTTAATTCAATCATATTTAATAGACTAACATTTATAAACTTATTTTCAAAAAATAAATTAAAAATTTATTTTATAAAAATATGTTTTATTTATATATGTTGTCACCGTAATTCGCGCCCGCGTCGGTTGCGGGACTCCTTCGCTCCCGCATTCGTGCGGCAGCGGACTCACTTCAGCTAGCTCAGTTTTATTTCTCTAAATTCTCGAGTGGAATCCCTCGTTATTCTGTTTTGTAGAGTGTCGTAGATTTTTCACGTTCTTCCTCGATTCGGCGGACACGTCGGAGAGGAGCCGGAAAAGGTAATAATTTAGATACCGGTTAACAGTAAAATAACAACACCTTAAATCTATTGAATTCAAGGCAGATAACTACTTAACCCTACAGATACTCGATTATACGATTTCACGTTAAAATCATACTCGTTAGTTAGCTTGTGTCCTTCAAAAACACGCAACTAACTTCACCGCCCCGGGAGATTTCGTAACGAATTTAAAAGAGAGCGATCTTTCGCTTGCGCTGTTTCGCGAGATGTAGTTTTAAGCGGATCTGAGCCGTTTGACGGCAGCTATTATAACGCGTGTCGTTTAACCGGCAGTTCTCTTGCCCGGCGTCGTTACGCGAATTTTGTCGGGTTCTTCGTTGGACGTCAGTCGGGTCTTTCCCGACAGTAGTCACTGTTTACTGCCGATCCAATAATTCCCGAATTAACTCGCTCGCCAGAAGCAGTTTCCACAATAAGCATACGAGTTCCTGACACGGCTCAATCTACAAAGTACAAGATAATACTGACAAATATTTACCGAAGAGTGTTCGATGGGCGATTAGAGAAGGCAACCGAGCTCCACGCCCAAGTCTCCGGGATCCCTACGCTCGAGATTCTCTCGAGCACGGCTCTTATCGCCTTGCGACATTGCCTCAAAATCTCGTAAATTCGTGCTTCTCAACTTTCAAGGCGCCACGTACCCTCTAACTAGTTCCAATTCCCGGTTTTCTTATCACGCCTATGCCGCCGAAAAGCGACGCCAACTACGTCGGAATTACAACGCAACTCTAATACTTTTCCTCCCCGCGGATGTACAATGATTCTTTTTCTCACACAATCGCCGCCTGAAACTCGCCTCTCTTCAGGACTTGTCCCGATATTTTGGCAGCTTCGCTCGCTCGCTTTCGAGTTGGCACGTCTGCTTCGCTAGCCGTCGGGCCGCACAGTATGTCGAGCAGGGCTCCGTCACCGGGTTTCTTTAGCGCAAGAGGCAGCCGTTGCACGGATCCATCACGCTGATCGATGTGGCATCCGATTGTCGGTACGCCGATTTTTCCTGCAATATCACGCGCGTCAAGTGTGCTCGCGGGAGCTTTACGTCTGATGTTGTCTTTACGGCTCTCGCTTTTGTTTCTCTCCGGGACGACCTTCGGCAGCTCTTGGTTTCGCAGTAGTTCAACAGGGTTCCCGGGCGCGCTCTCCGCGGGATCTTTCCCTACATACTGTACGACTGAATCGCGGGATCTTGGGCCTTTCTTAGCGCAAGGTAGCCATCTCACTGTCTGTCGCCAGCCGTCTATTTGAGGAAATCCTCCGCCTCCTCCCACGCATCGCTCTAGCCAGCGTCCAGCATCCTGCCAGCAGTTCCGATTCCTTTCTGTCTTCTTCCATCCGGTGTTCTTTCTCATGTGGTTTTCATATACTCAAAAGAAAAATCTACATTAGCCGCCGATCGCGTCTCGTGCACTAACGGTACACAACAGACAAAATTATTAAATTCGGTCGCCTTCTCTCATGAGTAGGCGCGAGTTTCCGGCTCCTCTTTGACCAGGCTACGGCCTGAGTGACGAGCAAAAATTTGCATCGTCACAATGTGTGCATGCTATATCAGTACTAGATATATGCTTTCACTATGCCGTTTAATGACGGCGTTCTTCTCTTCTTCATTTTATTTCTTCTTCATAATTCTTGTAATAGATGTAGATATAGGCAGATTTATTTATAAGATCATAATCGCAAAAATTATTTTTATTAATTACACATTTTTCTTCTTTAAAATAATATTAAATGACTGAATTCTCCAAATTTTCAGCTCGTGTTAATAAATAATCAGTTTTATACCAAGTACATCTAAATATATTTCAAAGTCTTGGAGAAGAAAGTTGTTTATGTACCCAAAATTTAAGTATTATAATATTATTACGTAAATATAAATTTATATCGTAATTATGTACAATATGTCTAGCTCAGAAAAGTTTGAACAAAGTACTTCCAAATTTTAAAACCAAATAATTTAAAGATTGTACAAAGGCAAATCAATAAGTACCCGTGTTAGTAATGAAGACAGTTTTTCACAAAAATTGTATTACTATTCAACGTAATCCCCTTTTATGACACATTTTTCTTAACATTCCTGCTATTTTTTAACCCTTCTAAAAAATATGATTTGTTGAAATCTGCAAAATAGGCATCTGCTTTGGTGATGACTTCATTCGACGTGAATCTCTTTCCATCAAGCAATTTTTTCAAGTTTTAAAACAGAAAGGATTCGCAAGTGGCCAAATCCGGAAGGTACGGTAGATGTGGAAGCAATTCCTTACGTAATTCGACCAATTTGGCTGTGGCGAATGCGAAGGAGTGAGCTGGTGCATTGTCGTGGTGGAACGACACTTTTTTGCCAAATGGGGCCGTATTTTCTTCAATTCAATATCGAATCGATCCAATAAATCAGCATAGTGCTGCCCGTGATAGCTTCCCTTTCTTCAAATAGTCGATAGAAATCACGCTGTGCACGTCCTAAAAGAGAATGGCCATCACATTTCCGGCCGACGGTATCGTCTTGGCCTTCTTCGAAGCACGTTCGCCGAGTGAGGTCCACTATTTTGAATGTTCCTTGGTCTCCGTATATAGTGATGGATCCATGTTTTATCAACGGTTACGACATGATGCAAAACCTCCTGTGGATTGCGCTTAAATAGCACCTACTAGCAAAACTACTTCGAAACTGATAACCGCATCTGCTCGTTGTCCACCTTAATCAATTGCGGCACCCATCGGGTCGACAGCTCTTTCGTTCCCAAATTATCATGCAAAATATTAGGTGAAGTAAAAAATTCTCAGCGTTTTTTCGCTTTATTTCGACGATGAAATTAACATAGTTAGGATTATCCGATTTCGATCAAATATGCGCCGTTTTGTTCGATAACTTTTGTCCATTTTGAAGGCAATTTCATAATTCCGCGATTGAAGAAATCCTCGTCCCTATTGGTAAAAAACTTGACCAGCTCATTTTCACAAGCCTCTCTTGAGGCCAGTTTGTACCATCAAAAAAATTTTGCAAATGCTTGAAAAGGTGATAATCGCTTGGTACCAAGTCTGGATTATACGGTGGGTGCAATAGAACCTCCCATCCAAGCTCTCGGAGCTTCTGGCGCGTCGTTAATGATGTGTGCGGCCTGGCGTTGTCTTGATGGAACACAACACTTTTCCTATTGGCCAATTCCGGCCGCTTCTGATCGATCGCCTGCTTCAATCTGGTCAGTTGTTGACAATAGAGGTCCGAATTGAGTGTTTGGCCCGATGGGAGCAGCTCATAGTGGATGATTCCTTTCCAATCCCACCAAACACACAGCAAAACCTTCTTGGCCGTTAATCCGGGCTTCGCGATCGTTTGGGCCGGCTCACCGCGATTGGACCACGATCTTTTTCGGCTGTTGTTCTCGTATGTGACCCATTTTTCATTATCAGTTACCATCCGCTTCAAAAATGGTTCGATTTCGTTACGTTTCAGCAAAGAATCGCAGGCGTCAATTCGGTCCAAAAGGTTTTTTTGCGTCAATTCGTGTGGCACCCATACATCGAGCTTCTTCTTAAGACCAGCCTTATGCAAATGGTTCCAAACGGTTTTCTGGCTAATCTTCAGTTCCTGGGCAATGGAATAAGTGCTCACATGCCGGTCCGACTCGACGATTTTCATGATTTTATCGACATTTTCGACGATTGGCCTACCAGAGCGTGCCTCATCTTTGACGTCCATATTACCAGAACGGAATCGTTGGAACCACCGCTTTGCTGTTGTATTCGATACTGTATTGGGTCCATAAACAGCACAAATATTTTTGGCTGCCTGCTCCGCCTTTTCACCTTGGTCGTAGTGGTACTGAAGAATGTATCGAATTTTCTCTTTTTTTACCTCCATTTTGGAACGCTGTAACACACAACTGCCTTGACCAAACACAAAACTGTAACAGAACTTTTTTTGAAGCGTAATGTCACTTTTAAATCGACGTATAGTATGATCCGATGCGATGTATACATCGTGAGATATGGCTTACTAAAGACATCTAGCGGAAAACGCTCAGAACTTTTTATTTCACCTAATATTGATTGCCGTTCCGTATGACACGCCTACGGCCTCTGCCTCACGTACATTCGTTCAGCGATTAGCGAGGATTATGTCGTAGATCTTTTTAACGATTTCCTCAGTAACCACGTCTGCCGGGTGGCCTGGGCGCTCCTTATCAAAAACAGATGATCGACCACGTTTGAATTCGTTGAACCAATATCTCACGGTTGTCATAGACTGTGAAGAGTTCCCATAAAAGCATCAAAATTTGTTTTTATTTCTTCGCATGTTTTTTCATCAAAAAATAAGAAGCGAGTCATAGAACGATATTGCTCTTTTTCCATTACATCAAAAAATATCAAACGTAATCATTACGAATTGTTGTCGAATCAAAACTATCGCATGGAACCCTCTGAAATTTTGTATGACGTTGTTTGAAAAATCGTATTACACGATGGTACTGTCAGCATCACGCAACGCCGTCTGTCTTCAAACACGGATACTTATTGATTTGCCCTCATATTAAAACTTATTTTTTGATATTGCTAAAATCTTCATTTGCTTATTTTATTGTATGAAAGCTTCCAATTGTTTCATACAATATCCATGAAGCAAACAGTAACAAACTATTGAACCCAGTACCTCGTAAGTAAACTTCTTTGAGCCAATTTTTGAAATATTAACATGTAAGTTTCTTTGATTTTGAAGTCGAAATATATATATTAACCGGTCTGAAAAAGGTTTGTTCTATTTATGACACACATATTTTTGTAGATTCTTCTAATACTATATACGGAAAAGAAATTAGATATCCCTCTGCAGATATAATTGGCATAATAATATGCCAGTATTGCTGTCATAGAAAATAAGATATCAGTCATAAAAGATAAAGGTTGGGTAATGGTTTTTACTCCTGTATTAGTTAAGATTCTTCCAGAATAAAATTTCTAATATAAATCTATTCTCACTCACATTATAAGTTGACCCCTCGCCAATTACATTGAAATGTGGTTATCTCGTATCAACACAAATTTCTCTGCAGTTTGATGTACGATCAGATCAGATCCGTAAGAAAATCGTATTTTAAACGCTGTTATTTTACGTGATGTAATATGGTGTGCCTTCTTAAAATTCCAAAGCCACCAATTCCCTGTTATAAATGAAGCAAAACCCACTTACATCTTTGCTTCTACTGTCCACTTTCGCAAATGTATATTGTAAATGATAGATCCTCTATCAGTTGTTTCTTGAAATTTTAGAACATATTCGACAACAAACACAAACTTGTCATTGTTTGATCTTTCTCGTATAACATTTTGTTCTAGTCTACTATGCCAGCGGTCCCGGGCTCAATCCCGGCAAAATCAAAATATTTACGCTGGCATCTCTTCTCGCAAGGCGAAGGCAAATCACCGAGTGTATCCTTGCCTAATGTAACTTCTCTAAAAACGCTGCCGTTCGGAACCGGCGTTAAACTGTAAGTTCCATATGCTTGTGTATAATCAACGTGCGCACCACAGGCATATGAGAGAGGTTGCCTATGCCTGGACACGGATATGGCACTAAAAAAAAGGAGATGCAATTGCTGAACAGATTTTACTTAAAAAAAAAACAGGTCTTAATATTTAAAAATTATATCCAGAAATAATGAAAACGGATTGAGTGCAAATGAACGCGCGACGTGAATCAATGTTCTTCTTGTTTATTGATGTTTACTTCTAACTATTGGTGTTCACGTCGCATGTGCATTTGATATTATTCTATTCATTTTTGCATTATATTTGAAGTGCGAAGCAAATAAAGGAGTCCCTGGTTGTAATACCGCTGTTGGAGATATTACAAACCTTCTCAGTATTCTCTTCGGTATAACTCCCAAATTCTTTACTATACCGCTGTATTCTTTAGTGATCTGTACGAAGGGACAATATGTAACAAACCTGTTAGTAAGTCAGTGAAGGAACACATGCCAAATGTAATCTCTTAATTACCAATTGTGGATCTATATTTTCGGCGCCTACAATAAGACCCAGAGTCGGTTTTTTTACCTATCACGGAGTAGAATTCTCCTGGTGGCATATATTTTACCACTTCATTATCGACTACCTGTATAAAAGTGTGGAATATGGAAAGATAAGTTTAATATGAAGATGATGCTTTCATATACTAAGAGTCAAATTTACTCTAATTACCTGAAGTAATGTTGATGGAACCCTCGTACTATTCTTCATTCATAATGGATAAACTTCAATTTTCTTAGCTATCAAACCAGTCCGTCTGCCGTGCCAGGCCTCCACTTTGTGACTGGCTCAATCGGATCTAATTTCAAAGGAGAAGGATTAATTCCGAGTTTGACATGAAGTAAACTATATTTGTATTGAGCTACTTCTTGAAGAAATTCCTTGCTGTCTCCCGTTAATTCTTCCTCATACAACTACACAGAAAAAAAATTTGTTGCTTGTACTTAGCAGATATCTATCATTTACCCAGGCAGACATATCTTGGTATATTGTTTGCATCCTAATTAGTATAACGTTAAGATGCATCTTTATAGAACAAAAATTTTATTAATATATAAAAGAAGTCATATGATGCCAAGGAAATTGTGGTAATATTACAGCAATATTCAAATGAATATTGCTAATTGATATTGGAATTATAATGTACTTATATATGAGGGCGGTTCAATAAGTACCCGTGTTAGAAATGAAGACAGCATTTTTTCAAAAAATTTTTTTTTATTTTTCAACATAGTCCCCTTTTAGAAAGATATACTTCTCCCAACGTTCCTGCCATTTTTTTAACCCCTCCAAAAAATAGGATTTGTCAAACTCTCCAAAATACGCCTCTGTCTCGGCGATGACTTCCTCGTTTGAGCTAAATTTTTTTCCCGCGAGCCATTTCTTCATGTTAGAGAACAAGAAAAGTCGCAGGGAGCCAGATCGGGTGAATACGGGGGGTGCGGCAGCAATTCATAACGCAATTCATGCAGTTTGGCGGCGACAACTCCGGATGAATGTGCTTTCCACCGTGAGCAATCGCGGCACCCATCGGGCCGACAATTTTTTCATCGCCAATTTATCATGTAAAATATTAATTGCCGTTCCTGTCGACACACCTACGGCCTTTGCTGCTTCGCGCACTTTTGTTCGTCGATCAGCGAGAATCATGTCGTGGACTTTTTGAATGATTTTCTCGGTAATCACGTCTGCCGGGCGTCCTGGTCGCTCCTCATCAAAAACGGATGTTCGCCCATCGTCATAGATGGCGAAGTGTCCCCATAAACAGCATCCAACTTTGCTTTTATCTCCTCGCATTTTTTCCCATCCAAAATCAAAAAGCGAATTACCGAACGATACTGCTTTTTTTCCATCTTAGCGAAAATCACGAAACACGTTTTACTCGAATGGCTGACAAATCCAAACTAACCTATCAATCAGTCTGCAATTTGTTTTGCAGTCGTTTGATAGATGACAGCACACGATGATAACACCAACTTCCCTCAGGAACGCCCTGTGTCGTCTAACACGGGTACTTATTGAACCGCCCTCGTATATGTACTAAGAAGTCAATACTTTGATTAAAATTGTGTTATAAGTATTTCTTAAAACAAGCATATTTTAAACATGTTTTGCAATAGCATCACAAAGTATACATTAAATGTTTGCATATTATATTCAATACTTCTGTATATCTGGGTTAATTTTAATAGATATTTATAAAAAAACACAATATATGTATTACTTGATATTTTGTACTATTGTATTTTGAAAAAAAATGTTATATATATACTGGTTATGCACGACACGCTGTGATTTTGGTAGCTGCTGTGGATGACGGTATTTGGGGATTCCGATTCGTTTACTCGGTAGAGATGTTATATCGATATTAAAAAGAGAAACAAAATTCTACTAACATTTCTGTAGGATTTCTCATTTAAATGTTACTTCATATATCTCGTTTTATTTAAATGTCACTTCTTATATTTTGCGACCGAAATTTGCGACTCGGCTTCTCCGAGTCGCCGGTGCAACACCGACGGGCGAACTTCGAGGCGCGAACGATACCCGGACCTCCTTCGATCTGTATGGGCACCAGGTACGCGTAATTCGCACCCACTAACCGATAGCCTCCGCGGTCGGCGACGCCTTCCGCGCGTCGGTCTCGCGATCCGAGTTCGTCCCCGTGACCGGCAGCTCCGGGGTGAGTTAAGTCGGAAGCCGAGGTGGTTCGAAGGGTCACGCTGGGAATTGCCAACAACCGAGAAAGGAACGAAATTACATAAAAGAAAAGAAAAACAGCGGCTCGGTTAACTCGCACGCCTTTATTTGGCCTTTGCGGCAGACGGTACAAAGCGCTCTGACGGAGCGCCTCACGATATATAATTTAATTATCTTCTTACTCGCGGTATTGTTCCCTTTATTCGCACGTTACCGCGCCGCAGCGGATCCGCGACGCCTGATAGCAATGGCCGGTCTCCTGAACAGCCGTAGAGCCAAGGGGGACGGGACTTCGCACGCCACTGACAACAACAAAAAACAAAAAGAATGCGGTGAGGCGGCCTTACAAATGCGGGCTCCTGGGCTGACCCTCGACGATCCTCGTCCCTTCGCTCTCTCTCTCGCTTTCCCTCTCCCACTCTCTCCCTCGCTCCAATAGCTCTCGCCTCCCCTCTCTCTCTCTCTCTCTCTCTCTCGTTGCTCCTCTCTCTCCAATGTCTCTCTCTCGCTCCGTTCGCTATCTCGCTCGCACTGGCTCCCTTGTCACCAACGTGCACGACACCGAAATCGGTAGCTTTTTGATCGCAAGAACTAAATTGCCGGAAGCCAAGGACGAATGCAATAAGAATTTGATTGGAGTCGCGACACTAAATCTCCACCGGAAAGACAGCTCGTTTTAAATGATATTCCCCTTCCTTTGTGGTTCCGAAATCCCCTCCTCGACAGCCAGATTCTTGCCGGCGGTTACTGAGTCGCTTCGAATCTGTCCTTGTGCGCGACCTCGGCCCGCCGGCCTTACCGCCGCCGAGGGGTCGG